GTGGGACACACGCTAGACGTCTCCACTCGCGACTGCCGAATTGCCACAAAGGAGATCAGTTCAACAGCAACGATCATCCCAGATGCCGAATGACGCTTACAAAGCCAATTCCCTGACGTGGAGTGTGTCTTTCAAGATACATATACCCCACCTGGACGCTGACTGAGGATCGCGATTAACAGAAACAATGTCCAGCTTAGACCCGCTCAATCTCAGGAAGAACGGTTGCCGCCTTCCCTGTGTCGACTGCCCCCTGCGGTTTTGTAGATGGACCTGAGGGGTGAGGGGGGAAGACTGTCGATCGCGCACGGGTTAGATGTCAGCCCTGACGACGGCTTGTGGTTAGTCGCGGACTGGAAGAAGGTCGACCCTTAATTTTGTTGTCACATCGATATTAGAACGAGGCGCCAGCGAAACCGCGCATGGGAATCAGGTCGGGCGGGCAGATTTGTCAAACGCGTTCGTGTGTGGAAAGTGCTACACCACGAGGCCAAGAATAAAAAAACGCTTTGCCCACCGGAATGTGCACACAAATGAACCCTTGTTTCTAGCCACCGACTTTTGGCAAGACTTGAATATGAGCAGTTGCCCCTCCCCCTAAAATAAATACTTACAGTGAAGGACCGAGCTCATGAAATGTTGACTGAAATTCTGCAATACGTCTTTGATTAGGAAGGATTATTTAAGCGCGGTTGCAAAACTGATTTTCTGGCGGCGTAATTCTATAATATTTCGGACTTGGCAGGACGTCAGCTTTTGAATGCACTGCTTTTAAATCTCCCGTAGAAACCGTTTTCGATAAGAAATGACTACTGAAGTAACATTGATTTTTCACATTGATTTTCAATGGTCTTGCAAATTAAAATATATTTTATAGAAATCCCGACAAATATATGTTTTCTTTCAGTCTTTTGATAGAGAATAATGTCGTTTTTATATTTTATGCTCGAAGAAGGGGTATAATTAGGTTTTAAAAAGTTTCTAATTATAAGATTTCTCTTGAGAGAGAGAGAGAGAGAGAGAGAGAGAGAGAGAGAGAGAGAGAGAGAGAGAGAGAATATAACTGAATCTACATGAGAGGGAGAGAGAGGAAATGCGCTTTATTTTGAAATCGTAAGTTCAAAATTTTCAGCAAAAAATTGGCTCCATTCACTGTGGGTAGTAAATAAGTTAACAGATTATTCAACAGTCAAAGAAACGATTATTATGGGGATAGTTCAAGTCTGAGCTTCCGTATTTCTGTCTCTTCGCACGTAAGATAGCGCGCTAGGAATGGCAATACAGAAGCTCGATAAGCCGATGTGCGACAGGGTATAAGACGGAAGTTGCGGCGCATCGGGCGGGAAGACTTGGCAGCCATAAGATCGGAATGTAGGGGATGGGCAACGTCAGCTAGAATTCGACCAGCAAATTGCTTGACCGCATTCAAGTGTCGTTGTAAGATTGTGTCAACTAAAAAAATATGAGAAACGCCAGCAGCAGAAGAGAGCATGCGGAGGATTCGTTTCAAAATTAAAAGATCCTTTTTTAACAGAGCAGGAAAAATGACAGGAGAACAGTATAGGATAAGAGGAAGAATGTAGGCATCAATGAATCGCCAGACTAAGGGTTGAGGTGTGTAGTAGGAACGCAAACGACGAATGTAGTAAAGGAGTTTACGAACTTTAATAAATATGGACTCAATATGGAGGGAAAAAGAAAGATTTGAGGACAAAGTAACGCCGAGATACCTGAAAGGGGATACCTCATTAGGAAGAATGTCAGAGGAATCAGGGTTAGGAGAGGGCCGCAGTCGACAAATACACTGAACGCATTTTTGGTTGTTAATTAGGAGACCATTTTCCTCCGACCACGCTAGGACATGGTTTAGGCCATCCTTTAGAGACCGGAGGTGTGTCTGACTTTTGAGAGGGTGTCCAACAACCACATCGTCAGCATACTTGATCAGAAGACAGTCATTAGGGGACCTGAGATCATCAGTGTGGAGGGAGAAAAGGTGAGGGGATAGAATGGAACCTTGAAGAACACCGCAGTCATTGGGAAGGGTCGAAGATTTTCGCTTGCCAGATTGGACAAATTGGGTGCGGAAGCTAAAATAATCGCTCAGCCAAGAGACGAC